GGGTTTTAGGGGGGTTTAGGGTGGGTTTTAGGGGGGTTTAGGGTGGGGTGGGATCAGGTGGGATTGGGTGATCAGAGGTGGGATTTGGGGATCAGAGGTGGGATTTAGGGGATCAGAGGGATCAGAGGTGGGATTTGGGGGATCAGAGGTGGGATTGGGGGATCAGAGGTGGGATTTGGGGATCAGAGGTGGGATTTGAGTGATCACAGGTGGGATTTGGGGATCACAGGTGGGATTTGGGGGTCAGAGGTGGGATTTGGAGATCAGAGGGATCAGAGGTGGGATTTGGGGGATCAGAGGTGAGATTTGGGGGATCAGAGGTGGGATTGGGGGGATCAGAGGTGGGATTGGGGGATCAGAGGTGGGATTGGGGGATCAGAGCTGGGACTGGCTGATCTCGCAGCTCTTTCCCAACTCAACCACCCTCCCCTTCCCTGATCCTTCCAAACGGGGATATCCCACCACCCCGTGACGGATCTGGGGCCAGATTCATCCCGTATCCTTTGCGGGGGGCTGGAAACCAGCGGGACATCCCTCTGTCTGTCCATCCCTCAACCCCCCCAGCAGACCCTGGGTGACCATTTGTGATCCCTGTGTGCATCCCATTTTTTTCCCTGTGGGATAACTCCCCCTTGGCTCTTCTCCCACCCCAGGAGCGCCGGGGTCTGGTGGCCCAGCTGAGGGACGGGGAGGCCGAGCTGGAGCGGCTGCGGAGCGTGGAAGGGGACAAGCTGGCCCAGCAGGACCGGTGAGTGTTTCCCCCCATCCCCTGGAATCCTGCCAGCTCGGGAATCCTGCCAGCTCTTTCCCAGGAATCCTTCCAGCTCCTCCTCTCCGGAGCCGCCCCGGGTCGGGGTGTCACTCGCAGCCAGAGCTCCGTGCCCTGGCAAAGGCACATTCCTGGGCAGGGCAGGGCTGGCCTTGCAAAACACCTTCCCTGAGCTGATTCATCCCCAAAAAAAACCCCTGGAGTTGTGCCTGGCTCCCGGAGAAACGCTCCGGAGGTTTGGGATCCGATCCCGCCCCGGCCCCGCCGCTCCAGGGGCTGATTTGGGGACGGGGTTGTTGTTGTTGTTGTTGTTGTTTCCTCGTTTGTGGCCTGGCTCCCTTCCCGCTCTTCCCGCGGTTTCCAGGGCTTTGTGGGCTCTCCTGGGATATGGGGTTGGTGTGTCTCTCCCAAAAAATCCCGAGACTGGAGAGGAGAGACTGCAGGGCTCTCTCCTCTTCTGCTCAACCCCCAAAAAAATCCCGAGGCTGGAGAGGAGGAGAGACCCCACAGGGC